CCCCGCCCACCCACCACCCACCCACCCCGCCACCGCCACACCGCGCACACACGCGCACACGCACGCAATATTATAGTATATCTCTTCTCTTCTCTCTTCTCTCTTTCTCTCTCTCTCTCTCTCTCCTCTCTCTCTTCTCTTCGCTTCTCTTCTCTTCTCTCTCTCTCTATCTCTCTCTCTCTCTCTCTCTCTCTCTCTCTCTCTCTCTCTCTCTCTCTCTCGCTCTCTCTCTTTCTCTCGCTCGCACGCGCCGCCGCCGCGCGCGCGCCGCACTCATTCGCCATCGCAACTGCTAAGAGGCACTGTTGGGCATACTAACCACTAACCCCATAGGGGCACCTCTGGAGCATACCCGACGAACTTGCATATTTTCTATTACGCATGTACATGATGACCACGTGCTATGTCGTTGTAACACTAGCTGTCAAGTCTAATGTCAGTCAAAGTGGTGTCTAGGTCGGCTAGGTGACGGCTTTACTCAGGCTCTCTGTGAATCTTTGGTTGCCCAAGACACATTGCGAGAACCATGTGGGCAAGCTTGCGCCATAGCAGCCTGCTCATCGTTGTGCAGGCGGCCCAAGTCTGAACCCATACTGGGTTTGTTTTAAACAAACAAAAAACAACCCGAACATGGTTTAGCCCATGCCAGCTCCCCGCGCACTGGCGACCATATTGGGTTGCATCGAACTGCTGTCACTGCACGCATTGCATTGCATTGCGACGCAAACTTGCCAGTGCGGTGTCGGGCGCAAATACGACACATTGGATACACACCGCGCCATTGACTTGTTCGGTTCGAAATCTGTTGAGCGGGACTCGTGCCGTGGATCATCCATACTCCTATTCACTTGCTGCTGGCACGTCGCGTCGCGTTTCGCCATGGCCCCGCCAACAAAGCATGTGAATGTAAATTGCGCGGGGGCGCTCGACTTGGATGTAGAATCCGACGCGGGGCATGGTCGCCGCAAGGCCCTGGGACATTTGAAGGCGACGGGGATCCTCATGGTGCCTCCCCCGCGGGCAGGCTGTTCTTTGGACGGGGGCAGCAGCAGTCGCGCGTCAAATATGACTTTGTCTTTGAAGGCAGCGGAGCCTATCCCAGCAGTGTTTCGCGAGCCGCCCGCTCGTGGACGCGCGAGCCCTGTCGATGGCACGCCCGACGGCTACGGCCCTGAGCTCGCACCTGGAGGTCGCGTTGGTGAACGCGACGGCACGGACCTCCCCGTCAAGTCTGGCCAATCACTTGATGGCAACACTGGCGGAAGCAGCCCCGCGGGCATGGAAGACCCGATGGGGGCGCCCATTCTGGAGAATTGCGCCGAGGCCGCATCGACCTTAGTGGACGTGGACAGCATGGGCTTCCAGATGTGCCCGCCCTTCCAGAGCCCCGCCGCCGGGCGCGCCAAGGTGGGCCCCTTCGTCGAGCGTGGCTCCGCCCCCCCCCCAGAGCGAGCAGATTCGCCCGTGGTCAGCGCGGCTTCCGACAGCGGCGATCAGCGCCCCGCGGCGCCCGCGTAGCCCCCAAGCCCCAGCGACAAGTGGAAGCCCATGCCGCCCCCGCACGAGGAGACTGAGATCGGGGGCCCCGCGGCTGACAGCGAGAAGCCCATGCTCGAGCAGCCAGTTCGCCAGCCCCCCTGCTGGAGAAAGAAGAGTACAGATCCTCCGAGTGGCGAGGGGTCCCAGAACCCGTTCATGGAGCAGCAGCTTGCGACCGCGTCTTCCCTGCTGCAGCAGTTCCGCGAGATCGCCCCAGAGTTTGCCGACCAGAGCCAGCAGTCGCAGCAGTAGAGCGTGCTACTGGGAGGGCGGGGGAGGAGGATGAGGAGGAGATGTAAGGAGGCCGAACAAGAGGATGATAAATACGCTATGCTGAGCGAGCAGGGCCAATGAGGTCCACACGCCATGCTCGTAGATCGTTTGGATGCCCATGCAAGTTGAGAGATACGAAACAGACTGGGGTCCAACAGTCGGCGCGCTCGAAATGCAAGCAGTGTCCAGGACCCTATTGTTGCCCCTCGGTATCCCCATTCCGACCCCTCGCCCTCCATGTGCACATCCCATGGCCGCTCCCTTGATAAGCTTTACTCTAGCAATTGCCTTCTCATTCTCGGCGCCCTCGCTCCCTTCCCATCCCCTGATATGTCCTTCATCCGCCTTGGTCCCCTCTTCGTGTTACCTTTCTTCTGCGCCCTGCCCCCTGCCCCTGCCTTACCCCCGCCACCGCCGCCACCGCCGCCACCCTCCCATTACCCTCCCCCCCATCCCTCGCCCCCTCCCCCATGCCCCTCGCCACCCCTACTCGAGATGCCCACTCTCGTCACGGCCGCATTATGGTGCAGGCATTGTTGATTACTTTGCGAGGTCCCCGAATTTAGGGTGGGTCACCTTGCTCAGAGTAGTTAGATGCAACCCTGCATTGCACACGACGTTTGCGCGTTGGGGCACCGCGGGTAGGACATTTAGAGCAATGTGGTGCGACGGGGGGCCGATGTTAGGGTGCACGTCACGGACGCACGCATTATGGGCTACAGGTCAGGGTGCACGCTTGGACCAGGGCTCCAGATTAGATCTAGATTGGGACCCCAGGGTCGGGATCCAGATTCGGATAGCTCGGCTAGAGCACTCGCGGCAGGGCATATGGATTGAGGAGCCTACACTAGGCAACCAGGTGATTACGTGTACCATGGTACATCGATGCGCCGTGCAAAGCTGCCCTTAGCAACTGCGGTTTAAGGCGCCTCGGGCCACAATATTCGTGAGTGTCTCAGGCGGGAGCGTCACTTTGAAAAAGGTATTGCCCTCCACGCGTGCAATAGTTGCAAGTTGGGCAGCGTGGGCCGTTCGTCTCGCGAGCGTCTACGGCGAGACATCCTGAGTGGGGTTCTTGTTTTCCCAGAACACCCTCTCCTTCCCACCCACCTCCCGCTCCATCTTCCATACAGCACAATATGATTCCTACCACACACACCATACCATACCATAGTTCCTACCACACATACCATACCATACCATACCATACCATACCACACCATACGTACCATACCGTACCATACCATACCATGGCGTACCATAGCATACCATACCATATCACACCAATGCCACACCGTACCATACCATACCATACCTCCAGTACCATACCATATCATACCATACCGTACCATACCATACCTACCATACCATTCCATACCACTCCATACCGAAAACCATGCTACTTACATGGTTTCGTGCCCCTCCCACCCCTCCAGGGAGGCCCCGCCTGAGCGAGGAGGGTATCGGAATACCATACTATTTACATGGTTTCGTGCCCCTCCCACCCCTCCAGGGAGGCCCCGCCTGAGCGAGGAGGGTATCGGAATACCATACTATTTACATGGTTTCGTGCCCCTCCCACCCCTCCAGGGAGGCCCCGCCTGAGCGAGGAGGGTATCGGAATACCATACTATTTACATGGTTTCGTGCCCCTCCCACCCCTCCAGGGAGGCCCCGCCTGAGCGAGGAGGGTATCGGAATACCATACTATTTACATGGTTTCGTGCCCCTCCCACCCCTCCAGGGAGGCCCCGCCTGAGCGAGGAGGGTATCGGAATACCATACTATTTACATGGTTTCGCGCCCCTCCCACCCCTCCAGGGGGGCCCCGCCTGAGCGAGGAGGGTATCGGAATACCATACTATTTACATGGTTTCGTGCCCCTCCCACCCCTCCAGGGAGGCCCCGCCTGAGCGAGGAAGGTATCGGAAAACCATACTATTTACATGGTTTCGTGCCCCTCCCACCCTCCAGGGAGGCCCCGCCTGAGCGAGGAGGGTATCGGAATACCATACTATTTACATGGTTTCGTGCCCCTCCCACCCCTCCAGGGAGGCCCCGCCTGAGCGAGGAGGGTATCGGAATACCATACTATTTACATGGTTTCGTGCCCCTCCCACCCCTCCAGGGAGGCCCCGCCTGAGCGAGGAGGGTATCGGAATACCATACTATTTACATGGTTTCGTGCCCCTCCCACCCCTCCAGGGAGGCCCCGCCTGAGCGAGGAGGGTATCGGAATACCATACTATTTACATGGTTTCGTGCCCCTCCCACCCCTCCAGGGAGGCCCCGCCTGAGCGAGGAGGGTATCGGAATACCATACTATTTACATGGTTTCGTGCCCCTCCCACCCCTCCAGGGAGGCCCCGCCTGAGCGAGGAGGGTATCGGAATACCATACTATTTACATGGTTTCGTGCCCCTCCCACCCCTCCAGGGAGGCCCCGCCTGAGCGAGGAGGATATCGGAATACCATACTATTTACATGGTTTCGTGCCCCTCCCACCCCTCCAGGGAGGCCCCGCCTGAGCGAGGAGGGTATCGGAATACCATACTATTTACATGGTTTCGTGCCCCTCCCACACCCCCAGGGAGGCCCCGCCTGAGCGAGGAGGGTATCGAGAAAATGTGTCCCACGAAACCGTTAATCTCTTTATTTGGGGAACTCCGTTAGCATATTTTTTTCAGATGGGGGGTGAGGGGTATCGCACGCACTGCAGCAATTCCAAATCGAGCGATTCAAGATATTGTGCGATTCGCAACGGTACCAGCTCAGAATCCACCCGCCCTCCGGCACAATGGCGAAGCGCGCCGAGGGCAAGCCGCCGCCCACGGGGGGCCCGCGGGGCTCCTCGGCTGGCGCAGCGGGCCCTGCCGCGCCCACTCCCGCCGCTTCCTCTGGCGGCGCTTCGCCCGCGAAGCGTCGGGGGCGCGTGTGTGGCTGTTTCTTGTGCGCCAAGACTTCCAAGGACGTCGGGCGCGCTCCGAATAGCCGCGCGACCCCCGCCGCCCTGCCCCCGCCCCGTCAGACGGGGGCTCGGGGCGAGGAGGAGGAATAGAAGGGGGAGAGTAGAAGGAGGAGGACGATGGTGGACGAGAGGGGGGAGGAGCAAGAGGGGGAGGGGGAGGCAGGGTTGGTTCGAGGAACACCGAGGGAGGAGGACGAGACGCCTTCCCGAGGAGAAGCCGATGGCAGCTCGCGAGGATGCGGGCCTGGAGAGGAACGAGTGGGACGTGGACATCTGCGCCGACTGCGTTGGCTGGGTCAGGACCCACGCGCCAACCATGTCGGTCAGCGAGTTGGCGGGTGAGCTCGCGAACAACAAGGAGCTGGGCAAGGACATCGCGGACATCAATGACAAGAAAGACATCTTCGCTGGCGGGGATCTCACGGTGACGGGCGACATGAGCGTCCAAGTGGAGGTGCACGACGACTACGGGCTGCTTCGGTACCAGGACTTTGTCGATCTCCGCGGCAAGACGCCGAAGCAGGCTGGCGCCCTGCCCGTCAACGCCCCGACCGCGGACAACATCTCGCAGAGCACGACCTTCTACCCGAACCCCTTGAACGCCAAGAAGCGCATGAAGGTGATCAGCAAGTTCGGCGTCGAAGTATCTGAGATGCGCATTGCTTCACCAAGCAGCCTAGCCTCCTCATGAAGTACGCCGCGAAGAGCTTCCTCAATAAGCACGCCGTCGCCCTACTTGGTCGTCGGAAGCGCCTGGGGGGCAGCAGCGCCCAGGTGGCCGCCGAGCACGCCGCCGTGGACGCCGGGCTAACCAGGTCGGGTTCGTTCGCGGTTGCTGAGGCGGGCAGCGCCGAGAAGGGTGCTTCCAAGGACGATGACGAGTCATTCGTGCAGGAGTCGGACGGCGACGTCGATCAACCCGATGGCGACGATGACCCCGAGCGCGCAGGCGGGGCGCATTCAATGGCCACGCCTGTGAAGGGCGTCACTCCCATGACGGGCGCTCGCTCGCCCCCTAGCGCCGTCGTTTCTGAAGGATGCCGGGTCCAGGCCGAGGGCCCGACGCCGTGGAACCAGTACTTCGTGGGCGAGTGTCCTGCAAAGGGGACTGCCGAATTTTGGATCTGGAAGACCCCATTGAAATGTGTCCTCGTTGGTCTCAGGGAGAAGCACCCTGTCAGCCAGATGAACATCCTCTTGCCGAAGCTCGACGCGCACTCGGCGAGGAAGCTGCGCCTCCACAAGGATGCCATACAGCAGTGCCAGGAGATCGTGGACGGCTCGGCCCAGGCAATGCCTTACAACGAGTTCGCAGACAAAGTGAAGACCTTGGTGCCCTCGGTCGGGGAGTGGCCGCAAGAACATCACCGCGTGTTGCTGGAGTGCACCCTGAGCCACCGCATGGCGGAGTTCGCGAGGGCGGGCAAGGAGGTCCACGCCGAGAAAGCCTTGGAAGTCGTAAAATTGTTCACGGTCGGCGAGGGGAAGGAGGGGAGTTTCAACTCCCTGAAGCCCATGCTGGTCCAGAGCTCCTTGTCGGAATCCGAGCGGGCGGACTTCTTTGTGAATGAGGTGTTCGGCAGGAAGGTCGCCGAGTGAATCGAGGATAAGGTAAACGGGGACTCCCTTATCTCGACGTTTGCTCAGGTGGCCATCAAGGCGATGAAGATCCCAGAGGGCGGCAACGTCGGCGAGAAGGCATGCTACGCGCTGCGGGTGGCAACTCGTGCGCTGCAGGTGCTCTTGCATCTAATTCGCCCCTCGTTGGTGGACGGTGTGTCCCTCGAGGTGTTCGACGACGCGGGCGCGATCTTGGAGGCGTCCGCGAAGACTGACGCGGCCTCGTCGGTGTGGCAGACCGTCGGGCTTGCGTGCGTCACCAGCCCGAGGTGGAATACTGGGCTCACGGAACTTGCTGGACAGGTGGGCGCAATGAAAGAGGTTGGGCCGATAATTCAAGTAACCATCGACAGCCTCTCCAGTATCGTGGAGCCCACGGCTGCTAGCGCCAAGAAGATCGGTGACGTCGTCGAGGGCACCCCGCATTTCCATGCCAAGTGCGTGAAAGACCTCGCCGAGAAGTTGGAGTTCAAAGTCAACGAGAAGGCGTGCGAGCTCATTTCCGCGGCCGCCAAGGCCGCTGCCCGCCTCGGCGATTCAGGCAACAGCTCCGACCCGAGCAGCCTCGGTATAAAGGACTTGAACGCTTTCATCACTCTCGCGAGGAAGATCACCCAGAACTGCGTGGAAACGGAGGCCTCCATTATCGCGAGCAACGCCCTGAAGCTGACCAAGGAGAGCCTCGAGACATCGCTCCGTGCGAAGAGCTTGAAAGAGGCTCTGCAGCAGTTCAACTTCGAAGATGCCCAGTCAGTGGCAAACGTGCTGGGTGCGTTCGACGGCGTCGTCGCAGCGGCGCTTCAGGATGAGGTTCGCGTGAGGGTCAAGGAGATTGTCGATTCGGTGATCGACTCACCTCGCGCCGCTGATGCCACGAACACGGTCAACCTCACTCAGGTGGTTTCGCTCGTCTCCGCGATGATGCCATTTGTCCCAGTCGAGCACAGGTTGGCCTACCAGAACATCAACTCCGCGCTGAAGCTGTGCAAGGGCGTCAGTGCAGGTCTCGCTGCGTTGGAGGGCGTCGAGACGACCGTGACCTGCTACGCTGACAAGGATGTGCAGAGGCTCCTGAACGAACTCCAGCGGGAGCACCTGCGCCTGAAGAGTGGCACGATCAAGCTCGACAAGGCCCCGAAGGTCCTTGAGGCGTGCGAGCTCATGTCGCAGAAGGCCGCCGAGAAGAGTGCCAAGGTCGAGAGCGACATCAAGGCCACGACCGCAGACCAGATCGAGAGCATCATGAAGAAGGTCGCCTTCGCCATGGAGAATGACTCCTTCATCAAGATGACGAGCGCGATGATGGATGTCGAGTCCGTGGCCGACGTCAAGAAGCAGACTCCCAAGGAGTTCTTCGAGGTCGACGCCGACTCAATCGTGACGGCCGCCGTCATGATGAAGAAGCGCGTGGACGAGTACTGATCGTCTCATCAGAGCTCCAAGCTCGGCGCCAACGAGTTCGCAGGCGATGCGAAGATCCTCTGTGACAGGGTGTTCACCATGATTGGCGTTCAGAAGATTCTGAGGCCGCTCATGGACGCGTCTGTGGCCAAGGATGAGGTCAAGCTGACGTTTGAGATGAAGTCGGTGCAGTCGTTCCTTCGTGAACACAAAGTGAACGTTAAAGAGATGCACGCTGGCCTGGCTGCTGCGTACGTGGCGGCCTCGCGAACCAACCGCGGTGCGAGGCGCGGCCCATGGGGGGGGGGGTGATAGGAGCGGGAAAAGGAGTAAAAGGGGAGGTGGACTCTAAGATTCGCAGCTTGCTGTAGCCGACAGAAGGCTTTTTTTTGACGGCGAGCGGCGCCGGACGCCGCGGTCGAGCGGTAGTTTGATGAAGGGGGGGGCCGAGTAAGATTATGCAGAATATGGGAGGAGGGACGTAGAGGATGGACCAGGGCGTGGGGGCGACGAGAAAGAGGACGGGAGGAGGAGGGCGGGGGGGACAAGGGGGGAGAAAAGAGGTGCAGTGGCGAAATTGGTTGGAATTCCCACCCCCCTCCCTCCTATGCCCCTCCCGTATCGCCTCCGCGGGCCCCCTCCCCCCCCATCGTTCCTCTTGCTATCCATCCCCGCCTTTCCGCTGCAACCCATGCTGGTCCTCGTGCGCATCCCCGGCATCCTTCCTCACCCCCCCCTCTACTTCCCCACCTCTTCCAACCCGGCCCTCATCTCGGGGCCCAGTGACTCAGATCGGGCAGGGGGGGTGCCATCAGAAAGGCGAGAGCGCCCTTGCTGCAGCTGGGTATTGAAAAAGAGCAACCCCCCCTGGTCATGGTTGTTGTTCCGCCTCCTCCCCGCCTCCCTCGCTGATCCCTCTCGCGCCTGCTCTCCTGCTCCTCTTCTTCTTTCTCCTTCCACTTGCTCGTTCTCTCCATCGTCCTAGTTCGACTCCCCAAATTCCTCGTGGAGACTTCATCTGTCTCCCCTCGCCCTCTCGCCCGTCGCATCGCGGCGATCGACGGGGCGGTGGCGGCCTTCGACAGCGAGGCCGCGGCCGACGCAATGGAGGAGGATGAGGAGGAGGAGAGATGGAGCGGAAGGTTGCTTCTCCCCCCTCACCCCTCCTCGCGTCCACGCCTTTCTTTTGCTTGTCTCCCGATGGGACGGGGGCGGGGGGGGGGCCGGGCAGTGGAAGAGGGGAGGGGGGGGGGTGAGGGAGGCGAGGAGACGGATAATGCGATGATGTTTGTATTTTTTGGCCAACTAAGTGCAAGGGCATCCGTGGGCATCGAAACTCAAACGTTGCTCGTCGTGCCCGCGCATCCCTGCTGCGAGTCTCGCGTTTGCCTGGCCCGACGTCGGAGTTTTTCATGCTGTTCGGGAGGGGTCGTGCATGGTTTTCGCTAGGTGCGCGAAAGAGTACCAAGTAGGCGTTCGAGAGGGCTCCAGGTGCCTTTTCGGCTGTATGAGCGTAAACCACCCCCTAGCGGACCGCAGACTTTCTAACTGAAGAAACCACTTCAGGACGGGGGGCGACCTCAGCTCGGCGAAGGCGCCGGCAGGGCTAGAGAGGCTCGCCCCGCAGAGGTGGGCGCCAGACGTCAGAGGGCGGCCTTCCCTTGTTCAGGGGCGGGGAGGGAAAGCCCATCGGGGGAGGAACTCGCGGACCTGCCGGGCGAGGCGGCGCGGGCCGCGGGTGTCGACCCCGGTTGCGTCGGGGGCCGCTCCACGGGTCGGGGGGGCGACGGCTATGCGCCGCGCGGTGCCAGACCTGGGGCGGCCCAAGCGCTGCGGGAGTTCAAATCCAGCGCCATCCGCGCCCGCCTGCGGGGGGCGCGCGAACCCCAGAAAAGGCCCACCAGAGGCGATGTCGGCCCAGGGGGGGGAAGGAGCGAGCCCGCCGGAGGAGCACTAGGATCCCCCCTGGCGGGGGTTCCAGTGGCCTTCGCCTCGGCGCGATCGTTCTCGCGGGTGGCGGCCTCCACTGCCGGGGGGAGGGCCCCCCTTCGGTCGAGGGATCTACGGGGCGCCCGCGGCCCCTGGAAGGTGGCCCGCGCCCCCGCGGGCAAGCTGTGATGCGGGGGCAGTGGCCACGGGGCCTTGCTCGAGTCGGGCGGAGTGCGTTGGGGCAGTGGCCCGCGCGCGTTTCCTCGTTTTTGGCGCGGGACGGGGCGCGGCCGCGCCAGGCGATGGTGGGCAAGGGTCCAAACGGACCCATCCCGAGCGATCGCCGTGACAACATCCGCTCCCCCTCCCTCTGTGCAGTATTGGGCCGTTTGGCGGGATTTGATTCGAGGGTCTACTCATGTAGCGGGATAATTCAGCCCCTGCCGTGCTTCTCCCTCCTCTCCCTTCTCCGCAGCCGCTGGCATAGGCTGCGCCACTTCTTTTTCCACCCGCGCGCCCTGCAATGGGCAGAGAAACCCGTCCCCCCGAAGTGGGGCGAGGGTCCAAACGGACTCATCCCGAGCGATCGCCATGAAACCATCAGCTCGCCCTCCCTCTGCTTATCACCCCTCGTATTATCATCATCATTATTTCATTAGCATCACCATTCTCATTCGTGGTGATATAATACGTATTATGATTACTAATGTTGCTCGTGTTCGTGATCGTATAGTTCGAAGTATTCATCGTATCCGTATTAGTATCAGTATTATGTTTTCATAACGCATCGTAATACTGTGATTGTTAGTCGTATGGGTAGTTTGGTGTTAACATTCGCATGTTTATTATGCCTTTGCCTCGGGGGGCTCTTCGCCGCTACGGCTGGATGCAGCTCGACCCGCTCCTTAGACATGGATCCAGGAACCTGCTCGATGACGAGGCTCTCCATTGCCAAGCAAGTGCTGTATTCCTTATTCAGCGTTCCGCATGGTAATCCTTACTACCGTAGCGGAACCATCCGACGACATAGCTTGTTCAATCCCCGCGCTTTTCTGGAATTTCGGCCACTCGGGCTCCGTTAGTGGGCCCTGGGGCCTCCCTACGGTGCCGCGCGATGTGGGGCCTCCGAGAGGCGGAGCGGCCTTCTCAGAAGGCCGCCCCCTTCGCCCAGCACCCCAGCTCCGCGCGGCCGCTCAGGTCGGTCTGCTGGTGCTGACCAATGCGGCCAGGTTTGAGCTCTGGGAGCACGCCTGGGCAGACAACAAGGCTATCAATTCCACCTCCGTGCAGGTCGTGTGCCACCTGGTGTCCCTGGCTGTCGCGCTGACCCTGTCCCTCTGCCTAGAGGGCCCCCAGGTCTGGGCCGACAATGCGAGGCGGATGCGCGAATACAGCCGAGGCGCCGAGGTAAGGGTAATTTTTGGGTCAGGAAGGGCTGTGCTCTCGGGCCGTTTAGGGTCTAGGTCGGGGAACCTCTTCGTGACAGTGGCTCACCGCGGCCAGAAGAGCCCCTTCGATCCTCATTTTGCGTTTCTGGTGGTAGCACGGTGGCTGTACACCTCAGGCGATGCTTAAGAAAACCTAAGTTTTTGACCGGAGTCTCGATTATTCTTAACGTTTCAATGTAAATCTTAAGATTTGAATGGAAACTTTAGGTTTTTATTCAAGTTCTGAGACTATGAATTTCTTAACCCATGATTTCTTAAGCATTTCGCAGGGTGTAAGCTTTCGGAGGTTCGTGCAGGCATCTCGGGTCGCCGCTGGGCCTTCTCCCTTCGCCGCCGGGCGGAGCCTCCAGCGCCGCCCTTGGGTCGCCCCGCACGCCGCGGGAGGGCTGTGGGACGGGGGACTCGAGAGGACCGCACGGACCTCCGAGCTTCTGTGTTCATGTACGGTAGGTTCGTGTCGTGTCGACCGGCGGCGACCCTGTCAGTGGCACTCAACCTTGAACGCCGCGGGCGACCCAGAATCGTTCGATGTGGAACGATTTGGACGTTTCTTAAATGGCCGATCGTTCAAGGTTGAATGATCCCCGAGGTGTCAGGAACCAACGCCGGGGTCGACACGACACGAACCTGCCGTAATCCTCTGGTTTTCCGAGGTCGTCGGCAGGCTTCTGGACAGGAATAGCTTCTGGCACTTCCTGGCCGCGGCGCTGCTGTTCACCGTCGCGGGCCACCTCGTCGTCGCGGGGATCCGGATGGGGGTCTCGGCCATCCTGGTCGCCACGCTGGGGTACCTGTATCTGCCGGTCTCGGCCCTGCTGAGCGTCTTCGCGTTCCCGCGCCGTTACGGGGTGCTGGAGTGGCTCGCTCTTGCCATGATCACTCTGGCCACCATCGGCTTCCTGCTGCTTCGGGAGCGCAACAAGTGGCTGCACCACGAGGGCGGGGGGCCCGCCCAGGTGGGCACCCACAGGAACAGATCGTCTCCCAAGGATCAAGAATTACAGCACGTGGAGGGCTGGGAGAAGGAGGAGGAGGAGGGGGAGGAGGAGGAGGAGGAGGAGGCGGGCCCGCCCAGGTGGGCACCCACGTCCTGGACGAGCGCGACCAGGTCGCCGCGAGCCAGGGCGACAGCGACTACTTCGGCTTCATCCAGGCGGAGGGCGTCGGCTGCGTGCTCGCGTCCGTGTGCATCAGCGCCCTCGGCTCGATCGTCACGGAGAGGGTATACAAGGGGCGAGCGTTCTGCACCAGCGAGGGCGAGGCGGCGCACTACGACAGCTTCTGCATCAACAAGGTCCACCTCGACCTCGCGGCGCTCGTGTTCTCCCTGATTCTGTGGACTGTCCCGATGTCCATGGCGCACGGCGTCCCGATCGCCTCCTCCAGCGACGAGTGGTTCGGCCCCTGGACTTGGCATCAGCTTCTGATGGTGGTCATCGCCCTGCTCCAGAGCTGGCTGGCAGGGCTGGTCGTGAAGCGATTCAGCACAGTCTGCAAGTCCATCGCGCAGACGCTCTCCATCCTGCTGGCGGGGCTCCTGGGCGACCCCGTGCTCAACCGCTACGACTTCTCCAGCAGAGCGGTGCCCACCGTTGCCCTCGCGGTCATCGTGCTGATGTCCGCGGCCATATTCCAGACTGGCAGGATCCAGAAGCGACTGTTCGAGCGACGGTTCACGCAGGCCTGGAGGAACGAAAAGACGGCACGACGGCACAAACTTTCAGACGTCCGCCCAGGCCTCCGAAAGCTTATGTGCGTAGATTGCCTTCTTCTCGCTCCTCCCAGGACCCTGGGGGCCTGGCGGACGCCGACGAGGGACGCCCCTCCGCCGCGGACAAGTTCGACCGCTGGGGCATCGTGTTCGGCCCACAGAGCCCAGCCAGCCCGGCGAGCCCGGCGGGGCCGCCGAGCCAGGGGTGGCCAGTGGCGAGGCCCGGGGGTGCCCAGGGCGGCCTCGCGCGGCCCTCGGAGGACGGCATCGGGGGGGACTCGATGCCCTCGCTGCCAGACTCTCAGCAACACAAAGGCAAGTGACTGCATCGCTGTCCAGCCGAGACTGGAGTCCCCCTGCAAAAACTAGACATGGGGAAAATAACAACAGATTTATCTGAGCTGTCGAGTGGAGGGGTCAAGGGAGAGGAGAGGGGCGTGCCGAGACCGGATGCCCCGACGTCGCCTCCACCTCTGGCGATCTAAGTTCGGCTCCCTCCCCCGCGTTCCCCCCCCCCTGCTCCGACCTCCGAGGCCCGTCGTAGGCCCCAGAAGTCGGAGGAGAACACCGAGGAGGAGGAGGAGGAGGAGGAGGAGGAGCAAGAGCAGGAGCAGGAGCAGGAGCAGGAGAGGATTGTGGATCAGGCCGCTCAGCAGCAGAGCATTCTGAAACCAGGCCCGACCCTAAGCGGTGCCGTCAAGCAGCCGCGTCTTTCACTATCAAGGTGCCCGCCTGGCATCGCAGGCGGCGCGCGAGGCGCGCCCAGCACAGGGTCTTCTTGTGTGTTAATCGCGTTGCAGTGGCATTACAGGAGCATCACGCGTCACCGAGGAGAGTGAACATGTTCATGTCAGGAGGAGGAGGATGAGGTGGAGGAGGAGGAGGAGGAGGAGGAGGAAGAGAAGGTCGCATGTGGAAATGCCTGCCGTGTGGAAGCCTCTTGCGCATCTCACAATATCGTTGCAGTTGTGGTTATGTTAGGCAGAATTGGAAAAATCATGTTGGCACGAGGTCGGAATTCCAAGATTCCAAATCTCAGCCCAGGGAGAGTGGGGAGTCCGGCTTGGGACAGATCTTGGACGCGATCGAGCCAGCATTACCAGCAGTAACGGATTCAGAGAACTACGCACAAAGATACACCAAGAACCCACACACCACAAATGCAGAAATGCTGCAACACACAACAAGCAATTGAGAGACACCATGAGGCCAGTTGCCATGTTTATTTCAAGTAAACATGAAAGCAGGACGGGCAAATCACACAGAAGACGAAGCGGATATTGCAATTGTCTAGTTCGTGATTGCCGAAATGGCTGGCACATGGGACCAGCTAAACGAGACCAGGATCAAACTGGAAAGGTTGCGAAAACATCGGAGAGAGTTAAGTGCCCCAATTGCCGATCTGCATACACAAAAACAAAGGCTGGACCAGATGATTCAAAACACAGAGGGTACAATTCAACCGTTGGAGAAACAACTGAAAATGCAGTGTGTCCTGGCAGGAGATGCAGCTACATCAGATACAGCAATGGACGAAGATGGTCAGTCAAGCTCGAGAGTGCCACCCGTGCCGCCGCCTCCGCAGGCAGCCAGGTATGCAAGGGCAGGATCAGTACCACCACCGCCAGCACTAGTTTCAGCTGCAGTAGTAGGAGGAGATGTATTTGCGCCGCCAAACTCGACAAAACAGCAGCTGGACGACAAAACGTTCAACCACGATTGCATTGGCGAGCAGGCAAGCGCAGCAAGACATGCAGATGAGACAAGGATTGAACGATTTTCAGGTTCGATTTTTTGAGAAGTTTCAATGTTGTTGCGGGCGCAAGCAATGCCAGCATCAGTGCCGGCACCAGCGGGGGGAAGCTCCAGTGGCAGTGTTTCTTCTGGTCACTCCAGCGATCGTCCGAAGGTCTTGAAAGCGCGAGCATATTGAGCACAGGGGATACCAGTGCAAGCCGATTCATGGATCGAGAACCCAAGTCCAGATCACATGTCGTAAGATGGGACAGCTGCGTGGGCAGACTTGCACAATCCTGGTCACTCCCAGCCAGGCGGCAGGCTCGATGCTAGCAGGCGTGGGGGAATGGGCCTCGCCCCGCGCCGCAAGCGGGCATGGGGCCTGGACCTCGCCCAACGCTTCAAGGAGAGGTCCCGGCTGCTCAGGGCACGGCGCCAGGTTGGATTTCACCAAGCGAATCGGAGGATCGTTGAGCAAGACAGGAGAGAGAGAAAGAGAGAGAGAGAGAGAGAGAGAAAAAAAAAGAGAGAGCATATGCAATGTGGCAAGCTCTGCGTCAGCCATCGTTGTCGCCCGCGCCGAGAGAGGCCGAGCACTGCTGGCTATCGCCGGCAGAAGTTGCAGAGGAGGAGCCGCCCACTGAGCCAATTCCAACGTATCCAGATCATTGTCTGGTGCGCACAAATCCAGAGTTGGCGGGCGCTGGATTCCATGGCAAAGCGCACGCGAACAAAGTTGGATCATCTTCGGCAGAGGGAGTAGCGCAGGCATTGGCGAACAAGGGAGAGGGGGTTTCAGGACCAGAGATCTCACCAAAAGCGTCGCCACGAGGATCAGCGAGAGTTGCTCCAACTCCGCCTTCGCAGGTGCTTGCGCCAGTTTTTCAAGACGTCGCATAGGTGCTAGAAATGCCAGTCATACGACTTGGGGTGGCAGCAGAAGTATTGCCGCCGAAGCAGCCAGGGCCTGGCCACGCCTCGCAAGTACACGTCACATCGATTCACAGCTCACCGACGGAGTTACCCTCGCAGCTCGGCGGGCTACAGGTGGCGGCGCACGCTGCGGCCATCGAGGAAGCACGCGAGACAGCGACAGAGCCGCCGCTGAGGTATCGGCGCCAGGAGGACGAGCCAGATCTGCAATATTCAACTTCCAGGTGGAAGCGCGAGAATTTCAGATAGAGGGGATATCAACAGTGGGTTGTTCCCTGGGTAAGCCGGGGTGCGCGTCTGCAGGGGTGCCCGCGGGCGAGGCGCGGGGGCGGGGATCCGTGCGGGTCGTTTTGTTGGCTCGTCCTCGTGGCGGGACCGGCCGATATCACAGTCGGCTGATCTGAGTATTTTTGTTGGTTGGGGACTCATGGAACCTCGCTTGCCTCTTCGTCCAGGGCTGTCTACTCTTGCCTCGAGGAGTGCAGTCGCGCGGGCGCCAAATTTCATTTGGCTTCCTAGAGGAGGGCACGGGGGGAAAACGCATCGCGCCGCCCGCGTGCGCACGACGGCGCGCGACGCGCGTGCCAGTCGATCGAGCGGCGCGAGCACCGCCCCCGAGCGCGCATCAGACTGCGCGCGCGCATGCGTGAGCGCACGTCTGGAGCTCGCTCAAGAAGACGCGGCCCGCCACGCAGGCGAGGCGCATTCGGCCGCGCGCGTCGATCAACGCTTGAATGCGCGGGCGCACGCAATCGCAAGGCGCTGCGACGCGACTTATTCATTGACGCTTCGCGCATCGCCACCAGACCATCCAGAAGCAGTTTTGTCCGGCGAGTTGCCCCGACCACGGAAGCGCGGACGTGCGCAGCGGGACAGGGAGGGATAGGGGCCAACGCGTGCCCTCGCGGGTCTTTTCAAGGAAACAGACGAGGAAATAGAGAAACAGCGGGGGGTGGAGGAGCCAGAGGAGGGGGGGTGAGGAGGAACAGCGACAGGGAGGAGGGCGAGAAGAAGGAGGAGGAACTATCCGAGCCGACTCAGGCAAAAATCCGCGACGCGCGGCCGCATTCGAAATGGCCGTTTCAGTTGTTCCGCTTCAGCTCGCCCTCGGGCCCGCCCGGAGAATTTCTCAACGGTTTCGAGGTCTCGAGAAGGTCGCGAGGGGGCTCAAAAAGATCCACGGGCGGCGCCGAGAACCAACCGCAATGGAGCATCTGAAACGGCCGTTTTACATGTTTCTTTTGCCAGTTCGCTCGCGGGGCCCGCTGGGGCCCCTCCCAGGGCGCCTTCGGAGCGATTCGGACATTCCCGATTCGGTTTCTGGGGGCCGCGAGATGGCTCCGAGACGGGTCCAAAAATTAGACTGGAGCATCTGCAACGGCCATTTCAGCTGATCCCCGCCGGCCAGCTCTCGAGCCCCCCCCACGGGGTCCTCCTGGGGCCGCGTTGGAATTCCTGGGTTAGTTTTTGGGGGCCTCGAGAGGGCCCCGAGACAACCCCGATAATCAGCCAGCATGGATCGCCAGAGGCGGCCGTGTCAGACGCGCGTCATTTTGGTGCGCTTTCCGGCCCCATCCGGGCCCCTCCTGGAAGTCGTCGCAACATTTACATTCGGTGGGTGGCGGCTGTTGTGAGGAACCCGCGTTCGCTTGACAATTCCGACAGGGGTCGGGGGTGTCGCGGAACGATGAGTTCGCGTCACTCCAGGTGGTTCTGGCGTTTCAGGTATCGGGTTTTGTTTTTGGTGATGGCCGCGAGGTTGGGCCTTGTCGGGGCGAGAGTGGCCGTTGCGCGACGGCGAGACCCTTCGGGCTCCTCCTGCCAGCCGCTGCCGCCACCCGCCGAGGCGCGCCACGGTCTGCCCGCGGGCCAACCTACCACTGTAGCGCACGCGCACGCATTGCCCCGCCACGTCGCCCCAACCCCATGTCGCAGATGCACGTCGTCGATGGGCGCGTAGAAGTTCACCCCCTTCGTCTGCGCAGTTCCCCATGTGATGCGTGTGAGCAGAGCTCCCCGTCTGTGTTTGTCTTCCGCAGATTCTCTTTGCGCGCGTAGAAGTAAGGCTGCGCCACGGGGGCGCGCCCTGGCGCAGGCGCGGGCGAGGCCAGGGGCGGCGGCGGTCGCCGTTCAGGGCGGTCGCCTTCTACAGTTCGCCATGGCCGGCGGGTTTCTGGGGCCAGGTCCCCGCCCCTCCCCGGCCTGGGAGCAGGCGGGGGAAGGGTGAACTGGGCGAGGGGGGCGGAGGGGGGGGGCGAAGAGAAGGGGCGGCGGTCGAGATGGAAAGTAGAGGGAGGCAGGGGGGGGGGGGGGGGCGCGAACGACGCGGGGCGCTTTGACGCGGAGGGGGGAAGCGACGGAAAATAAGGGGGGGCAGGGGCAATGAACGAGCGGCGGCGACGCAGGGGGGGGCGCGGGCAGGGGTTCGCGCCGCGATGCCCCCGTGGCAGGGGGGCGTTGCCAGCGCGTTGTCTCCTGGGGCCCTCTCGTGGCGCCTGGGGCGTTATTTGGCGCCCCCGGGGCCGCGCGGGCCCCCCCGGCGGCCCTTTCCTAAGGCCTTCTTGGGCAATGTCAGCGCCGCGCTTGGGTT